GAATGGTATATTCTATTTCGAATAGGGCGCAATATTCTACGGGCAAGTTGCCCAAGGGGCGAACTCGCGCATGCGTAGCCTGTCGTTTGCCCATGGCATCCGGTTTAACCTCGCTTATATATTTATAGTTGCAGATCTGTAGCTCTCAGAAAAAAAATATTGATAGACCGGAGAGCTACAGAGCCACCCATTGAAAAAATCTGTATATTTATTGCGCACAAAAAAGTGCGCTCGGTTCTCGATTTATTTCTCCATTTTTTTTTAATGTTTTTCAAAATATTACTAACCGTGTGTTCCTAACATATTCTTTGACTCTCTCCACAACAAAACATTCCTCATAATTGTTGTTAATAGTCCCCCTGGCCCTGATATTGCACTCATCGGACATTTCGCTTATTTATACTGCCATTTTGGTTTCAAAGATAATTCGGTCCAATATGCTTCGTTTAGATGTCAACTACGAGAGAACTTGAAAGAGTAGAGAGTAATTTTTTGAAATCTTCCATTTTTTGCAATTGAGGTAAGCATTTGGAAAAATTAATCAACAATCGAGCGCACTTTTTTGTGCGCAATAAATATACAGTTATTTCAATGGGTGGCACTGTAGCTCTCCGGTCTATCAATAATTTTTTTTCGGAGAGCTACAGATCTGCAGCATATATATTTACTGCGCAGCTGCGTGGACCTCAGGGTCCACGCAAATATCAAGTAAAATATATATATTATGAACATCATATCTAGTGTACCAAGTCAACAGCTAATATAATTAAAGTTTATTGATAGATAATTCATTAGTTCTCAATTCATTTCTCTCCATCCTAATTCATTTCTCTCCATCCTAATTGTCCTCGATTATTGGTCAACTGTTTTAAGCTGATTGATTGATGGACAGAGTAAATCCAAAGAAACACTCGTTATAGATTTTCATTTATGTACTACACTAGTATTTGTTCCGAAACGAAACTTTAAAGCTGGCATCTTTGACTTACAGTATTCAGGTCGCTGCTGAAATAACAGGTTGTCATTGAAATAGTTTAAAGTAAATCCTACAAATTATTATTAGATTATTTTCCTGGGTTTTCCCCAAACATGATGGAATATCTCTCAGCTTCTCTCTCTCATCGAGGGAAATACGTGTGTCTGCTATAATTTTCAATATAATTATGCTCATAATAATTTAACGAGAGTTTTTATTTCAAGAAAGTCATACTTACTCTGGCACATACTGTAGACTTCTTCTTTGATTTTAAATTTTTATTCTATTTCACCCGTCAGGGACGAAGCATATATTTTTTTTTACACGGGGGGGGGGGGGGGTATTCAACCTACCTGATAAAAAAACCTAAAAGTAAATAATTGAAACTTGGAGGGCCATTGAACTTCTTTTAGTACCTTATTTTTTTTCGTATAAATACTATATTACCTTTATTTGGCTGTGGTACACCAAAACGGGTGGGGGGGGGGGGGGGCAACCGGTCTATAAATGATAATTTTAAAAAAAAAAAGTTTTTACGAAAACCCCCTGATGCTACGTGTCTGTCCGTAGCATCTAACTACAGCAAAGCATGCACAGCTTTATAAGTTATATAACTTCTCGTTCTCGACTTCGTTTGCAAAAGATTCGGCAGTAAGAAAGACAGTATGTTGAAATAATAATGTACCGTTTTGTTTACTGTTTCAGGATTTTATTTAGTTCAGAAATTGAAAAAGAACATGTAAATTTCTCATATGGCGCTGCATAACTTCAAATCATTAGGTATTTATGTACATATATATCGAAACTGATCTGTTGATGTCTGTCCGGTTAAATGCTGAAATCATTTGCTGTCGTTACATGTACGCACAGCATTTTTAAACATATGAATGTCCCCATATTTTAACAGTACTTGTCAAGGCCTGAATGAAGCAACTCCATTGAGAGGGGTGCACATTTTTTCACCACTAAAAATTTCTTTACAAAACACCAGCATGTAGTTTCTTTGTTTTTCTACAATACTAAGTATATACTATATATCCAAACTGAGAGTACATTCAACAAAAGGAAGAAGATATCACCAAAATTAATGGGGACACGTCCCCTCGCTGCATTTCATTTCCAAAATCTGCATAGCATTCCGAAATTTTATTTCCGACATTTTCTTTATACTATTTCCGGAATTTACCTGTACATGTGCGGCAATTCAATGTTTTCCAAGAAATTGAAAATGGAATTTTAAAAGTATATTTATAGCAAAATATTGATAAAAAATATAAAAATCCATCTGCACATATACGTAAACATGTAGTACAAAGTCTAGGTAAAAGAGTTCAATTCAAGCATACTCTTTCGCCATATTTTATATGCACTAAATTAAAAGTCAGGGAAATTTTATCATACAGTTGCTTCATTAGTAGATTTTAAAATCTCAGAAATTGGATTTCAGTGATTTATTTATGATTTAATTCCTTTAATTTTCTCATATGTTAAGTCTTCAATTATGCTACTAAAAGTTCTATCTAAAAATGGGCGAAAGTTCACAACACTAACAATATTGTATGTGCCTCAGAAAGAGAGAGATCCATTTATTTGGATGTCGGTGATTTATTCGCAGTTCATGATTTCTTTCTTAAAAGTTTTCATAGACTGGGCCTTCAATCCTGTTTTATTGCCGAAAAGTGCAGTGTTCTACCTGAAAATGTCCGAGATTTTAAACGCTGTCTTGATCCATTAAATTTTTCTTCCATTACGCGTCGATAAGCCCCCCCCCCCCCCCCCCCACCCACACACCACATGATTTGTTTCAAAGTCGGCAAAAAATAAAATTAAATTTAAATTATACAAAATTGATTAAAAAAATATTTCTGTCAATACGGAGGTAGGAATTATATGCCACGCAGTATTTATAAGAAAAAAAAGAATTGTCTCATCCCCTCCTTTTATCAAAATATTATATGAATGATGAATACAAAAGAAAGATACAAGAATTATTTTCAACGCCTTATTAGCCTTTATTATGTTCTTGCAGATCTATAGACATATTGCTTTTCACTTTATTCTGTCCCGGAGTGATAGGCCTACGTCACAATAGATCGAAAACTTGAGATGTGCACACTAAAACTGCACCTCTTAGCTGAGGTGAAACAAGTGCGCGGATCCTGGATCTTGCAATTTTTAAAGCCTGTTTTTTGTACTAAACACTTTTCACTTTCATTTCCTCTTGTGATATTTGGTTGTCCAAGTAAAGGAAAACGTTCAGCTAAAAAATAATGTTTAAATGATGTACCTTATTGACAGAATATCTTATATTACGTACAATGCCTATACGCCATTTTGATACAGAGAGAAAGTTCGGGAAAACAGTGTACCTGTGACGTCGTACTTCGAAAAATGACGTCGAACAGGAGTTGTTTGCAGTGCATTGGCAGTGTTGACATCGCCGCGTTTCACTGGCTATTTGTTGGATTTAATCGTTCTTACGACTATATATTTTCAGTTATCGTGATGAATATGCATTGGTATGTATTTTCGTTCTCTTGCTCCGTGATTTATTTTCTTCGGGAGATCGGCATGTGCACATGGTGTAGGGACCCGGGTCTAGTCTTCATTCATGGATACTTGGAATGAAATACTTAGGATTTAAGCGCATCGTGATAGTAAATAACACTTCTACAGTGTTAATTACCGTTTATTACGTACATCGCGTGGACTGATTAACAACACAGACCGAATACACATTGAATATGGATTTACTACAGGATTTTTAACTAACGCAACTGGCGCATGCCCAAAGGGGTTAGTCGACACCCGGCGGCGACTAACCCCTTTGGGCATGCGCCAACTAACCCAGTAAAAAAATCATCTAACCCCTGCCAGTACATGCAAACTTGTTTACACCAATAAATAAACAAACACAACAATAAATAAACAAACAAATAACAAACAAATAAACAGATAAGAAGAAATAATTAACAGAAAATAGAGTAACTTATTTAATGAGTTTATAAACAAAATCTTTACCCAAATACTCACAAAATATGCAGAGATCTAAGGCAACATTTTTTTCTACTGAGCTAAAAATACATGTAAGGAGACTTAGTAGCTTATTTTTTTTAATTCTTTAAATTCCGAATGAAATAATTATTCCGAGCTGAAATAATACCCTGTTATATATTGAGAACATTTACTAAAGTAATGATTAGAGACACTCTAATTTAATCATAGGGTATATGCAAACCGCCTATCTGCTAACCTCTAAACCACCACTGGGATATGTTTGATTTCTGTAAAGATTCTTCAGACCTTTAAGCTGATACACCTATCTGTCAAAGTCAGGTCGAAGGTCAAAGAAGACGCATCCAGCCAGTCTCTGCATGACTCCACACTGTAACAAGGTGTGGGCCCCCACTGCTGACTCTGTCTGTAATAAACAGTCACTGTATTCATATATGTCAGAGCCCTTAAATTTCATATCAATATTGCAAATCAATGGAATACTGCTAAATCGAAATTTTTGAATGAGTTACAGATTAATGTTTCGTTAGATGACAAATGTGGGGGTAGAATAAGGTAGTAATTAATAGAAGACGTACAAGTTTAGACAAGTAGATGTACAGCACTCTGAGTTGGGGGGTGGGGGACACAAGGGTCTGTAGCGGCTGGTCGTCATGGAGAAGGCTGTCCACCAGGTGTTGGAGGTAACCTTTAGAGGACAGAAAGGTCATCCACTGCTGGAACTTGTCCATAGAATGGTGTCCAGAATGGTGTCCAGTACTGATAAAGCCAGCATCTACAACAGACAAATATAACAGATACAGCCAGCATCTACAACAGACATTATATTAATATAGGTCATGCGCTGCTGGAACCTGTTCACAATGAAACCTTGGGACATAAATATAGTACACAAAGATATCAGGATTCACTCCTTACCCTTCCTACATCATGTCCATCACACGCGTCACGACACACCATGTCAATAAAGTTGTCTCCAACAGAATGGTAGCCACGTTTTCCTATCTCAGCTGTTCATAATCGGAGTGGGCGTCGGCCAAAATCCTCTTCCCAACCCCATCACCTCCTGCCTCTGTCAGAAAAAGGAAACATCATTAACAGCCTTTGTCATACATGTACTAGTTTAGGTTTTTATTTCATATAACATTGGAAGAGTTTAAATGTATTCTATAAAATACATAATATACAATTTTGATCTATGTATGCCAGGCACAAAGTAAGAGCAAAATCTGTGCAGTTTTGTTGACATTCAGGTGTTGACATCTTAGTACTATGAATTATATTCTTAAACAAGACACGTGTGATTTCTACTTAGACATACCTGACTGTGTATGATGTGAGTCAGAGACTTGGGTTTCTGAGCGATTTTTAGATAAGACAGCAGGGCCCCATATAAGTTGGCTCTTACTCTCTGCTGGCCACCACCTAAACAGAATTAGAAATTGATTTTTATGAACATGCACTTGAAAAAATTTCTTTTCAGGGAAAAAGTATGCAAATGTACTATTCATACATTTCAATATATTCTTACTTGAAAGCAGAATGTGATCTATCACTCCTCTGAGCACCAGTTGAAGGGAGGAAGCAAATTGGGTTCATGACCCTGACAATTGACCCCATGACCCTGTTTGACCTTGACCTGCTGTGGAGTCCAGCATGGTGAGGAAGTGTGAGGTTTCATCGTCAGAGACAGAATCTTGACAGAAACACTGACGTAGATTTGTCATCTGAGTCAGGATGATCCCAGCCACAGGGGCAGTTAACTCTGTCAAGGCATCATCTTCCGTCACCTAAAAATAATGAGTAGATTGATGTTAAATGTAGTATCAAGCGATGCAATACAACAACCTTTTTTCTCTGTAAAATTAAAATTTCCCCTCCCTTTTCCCCAAATGAAAGCAATTGTCAAGTACATTTGTACACACAGCACAGTTAAGGTTACAAACCCAAGTCAAAATGAACTGCTTATTTTAGCAGTTTATAAACAGTTATTAGGCAGTCTGGCAACTTTTTGGCAGTTTTTAGGCAGTTCTTAACAGTCTCAGTCTTAGCATTCCTTAAAACTGCTTACAGACAGTGCTTAAAAACTGCTAAGAATTTGTGTAAGCAGTTCAGTATTGAAGAAACTTAATTAAGCAGTCAAACAAGCAGTTTCTCAAAACTGCTAAAAAACTGCTAAAAGCAACTTATTCATTTCGACTTCTTATAAGAAGTAATACAACACTTTTTCACTCTTGGTGGTCCTAACTTTCACTAGCCTTCATTACTGCCCATGTGTTACTGTTAATGCTTCCTGATGATAACGTCACAAATAATTGGGGCCAGACAGGAGTTCTTATACAGAAAATAAAGTTAAATAGAAAAAAAATATACTAAAAATCTTACTAGAAATGATACAATAGTTTGTAATAAATTGAGGCTTCATATTATAAAAAGCATGAGCATATGAGCTTCTAATCTTTATCCCATCAACTTGCAAATCCAGCCGTCTAGTTATATTAACAACCTGCTGTGTCCCCCTTGGTTGCTTGAAACTATAGGGTTGTATCCAATGAGGAAAGCCAGTCAAGATTTGTGCGCCTTTTCCACATCAGTTCAAAATTACAAATTGTGAAGATGTTTGTGATGGTCTGGGATATTATATATATCATGTATATATTTATACCTATACAGTGAAGAAGTAAAATATGCTTTGGAAAATACAATATTATCTGTGATCACCACATTGGACTGGATGTGAACTTAATATTTATATAGTGACAAGTGTATCTGAATTTATTTCCATGAGATGGGAGATCATTATTATAAAAATCTGATCAAACAATATATTGGAATTGGGTGATATAGGAAAATTGCTAAAAGATTTGTTGGCAGTAATTAAAGTATGCTTCAGAAAATATGGTAAGTGTGTGGGCTAATGTGATATAATAGGCATACCCTCTTCTCATTTGGATAACTATTAAATTATAAAACGTATAATCTAGTTTTTATATTTCAATTATAAGTACTAAATTGAAATAAATTAAAATATTTGCAAATAAATTTATAAGCTACTGATAAAGGGATCCATAGATTAGTCCACTGTATCAATTACCCAAGCTCTTAAGATGCCACTGACGTTTATGCAAGAAAATGGACTTAATGAAAGGACTCATTTACAATTCATACCTTAGATCTAAATCTCAATACTAAGTCAAATTTCCAATATATACATATGATGTCATTTTTAATAAATTACCCTGCCGGAAGCAAAAATTATATGCATATTTGTATTCATATATCATGTATATGGGTGGTGTTATGTTCTTAAAAGTTAGTCAAGAATAGTGCTTATAGCATTCTTTTTACCATGCAGTTTTTAAGCAGTTAATAAATTTTCAAATTTATATGTAGGTCACTCAGAGTCATTTCCATATAAGTAGAGCAAACAAAAGAAACACCTTAGCAGTTATTAAGCAGTTTTTAAGCAGTTCTCCTTAACCTTCCTATTGACTGCTTAGATACTGCTAAGGAAACTGCTAAGCAACTGCTAAGTTACTGCTAATGAACTGGCTAAGTACTGCTTAAAATGTGGACTGCTAAGGAAAACTGCCTAAGGAGAGAAGAAGGCTAGTAAACTGTCTAAGAACTGCTAAAGCACTGAACTGTTAAGGTTAAAAAACTGCTAAAGAACTGCCTTCCACTTTGACTTGGGAATGGAGATATCGGTGATTTTTTAAGATAAAAAATACATACTTTATTAGGATGGGTGAATCTTTTTAGGAATTCACTGATATCAAAAAAATGTAATGTGGTTAAAAATGTTGGGGACATTTAGATTTTTTATTTAGACTTGTCATTTGATGTCGACGTCACATGACTTTGGCAATTATACTTGCAGTTTAGAGGTCATTTATAAATTTCAATATTGCAAGGGCATAACCAAGCTAAAAATCTTAGTTTATTTTATAATGCTTTTCAACATTATATGTAGTTTGTGAAAAGTGCTGCGAACCAATATAGATTCCCTTTTTTAATTGGTAAAATTTAATTTGTTGGACGGCAGGATTAATATATTGCTGGTCAACTACATTAAATACAGCTATAATTAATTTATTTGCAAGATTTCAAGAGGTTCGCAGCACTTTTCAAATATCTTAATGCTTCTTGAGTTTATGTGTAAAATTTTGACAAGATACATTGAGGGTATGCCCTTGCAATGAATTGATTTATTAGGGCCCTTCGATTACTTTTTCAATGAATCTGCATACAAACACACGATAGTATCGCTTGTCTGATAAATGCAGGTACAGTTTATGAATAAAATACTAAAATAAACATCGCATCCAAATTAATGGCTTTTTATTTTACTGCAAATAATATTTTATTTTGAGAACAAAAGACATTTTTCATTGTAAAATTTGTGACTTGATCAGCCTCTCACTGTGTACAGACTGCGTCATTTTTTGTGAAATGACGTCACATTGACATGTGCATTGATGCATCGTTTATATACTGTTGTGTGGGGTTTGATAAACGACAAAACTGCAAGTAATAGTAAGTTTGTATGTAGTATACAGCTATCCAGCTGTTTGAAATAGCAAAAAATTTCATTTTGTGGTATTTTGAAGACCTGATATTATGCGTGATGTCATAGTAAAAATTTCCCGTACAAATTAGGCCCCGCCTCTTTACTGTAACCTTAACTGTGCTGCGCATGAATATTGTGAAGAAAATGTGTCGGTATCATTTTTCCATACATCTTTTTGCAAGATTTACCCTTTAACCTTAAGTATACAGATGAAATTTGGCCAATACCTGGCATTAGTTAGATGCTCATGTTCTTGTACATTAATACCACATACTTCAGTGTTGGACGGAAAACAAGACACACAGATGTTGTTTTACCTTTCTCTGTAGTTCTTGTAGCAGCTCAAACAGTACGGTCTGTCTGTCCTCAGCAGTCAGTAGGTCCTCAGGACATGCAGTCAACAGAACCTCTGTCACATGACGCCACGCCTCCAGAGCCTGCTGTTTGGTGGACAGTTCCTGTCGGATTCTGTTACGTAGCACCATGTGATGCAGAATATTCTCCACTTCCTGAAAAATTTATAAAACTTTTACGTTTTGCTGAAATGTTGACAACCTTGGGGGTAGGTCAAAGAAATTAAGACAACATGAAAGAGACAGTCATCATAGAGAAGAGTGAAATCAATGGCATAAGATTGGGCCGGAAAGAGAGACTGTGTAGCTAGCTTTACATCACCTGACACAAAGAGGATTAAGTAAGGAAGGATATTAAATGCTTAATAATTGGGATATCGATCTCACCTCTAGAACTTGCGGTCTCTGAGTCACTATGATATCGATCTCACCTCTAAAACTCGAGGTCTCTGAGTCACTGTGATGTTGCCCTGGTAGTTGTTAAGTTCGTTCATCAGTAGGCAGTGAAGTCGTTTGACATCACAATACAAAATGTCCTGTTCGGTCCAAGTTTCTACACTTTTAATGGCTATAATTCAATCATCGACAATTTGAAAAACTCCAACTTCATTGTAGGAGGGTAACGCTGTGAAAAGTCAACTTCATACAGAAATCCTAGTAACTTCCTGCTCACTTGGCGGCCTGAACAAGGAAAATAAAGCCTGAACAAGTGTTTATGAGCAAAAGAAGAGCAGTGTCATAATTTTTTATGTTTTTCTTTGCTTACTCCTGAACAGGCTTGCTGTCTGAGACAGATAAGATGTCTGTAGACTCTGTTCTGTAAATCTGTCATACGTCAGGTCAGCTTCGTCTCCTAATGCTGGCTGTAACACTGTGAGAATCACATTTATTACTTTCTTTAGCAAATCAGACCATTTAGATTTTTTGTAAGGCTGTTATTAAACTTGACTTTACCATTTTAACCCCCTGAATACACATGGATCAAGACATTCATTAACCTCAGCTTGTGTGACTTTTGAACTTGACCTTACCTGTTTGACCTTCTGACCCATCATCCAGCAGGGCCTTCATTAACCTCAGTGTGTGTGACCTTTGACGGTTCAGTGCAGTCAGTCGCAGTTCAATGGCTATCAGCTTCAGCAACCAGGATTGGGAAATCATTACAGGGCGTTCTATAAAGGCAATTAAATATTAAATAATAAACAAATTTTGACTAGTTTCTCTATTAAAAACATTTTTGTCACAAAATACAAAAATTCTTATTTTAATTTGAACTCACTATAAAACTGCTGAGTGAAAGGTAAATGCTGGAGCTGCCTGAACAGGAAGTCCCTGGTTGTACGTAAATATCGTAAAGTGGGCGTCGACGTCTTCTTGTTGGCAGCCAGAAGGTAGATGTGTTTGTATAGGCCAGCTCAGACAGTCATGGAATGTCCATCAGGCAGATGGGGCCTGAGTGTGTCCCCACCCCCCTCTCTAACAGGGACAGGACCGCATGTAGACAGGTCTTAGGTGACCCTAGGATACCTGGTTTTAGAAATTCAAATCAAATTAAATTTGTGAATGTGCAAAATTTTCATTGGTAGATTTAAGAATCTTTTGCATCTTGAAGTAAAATTTAGACAAAACTTCTTTTATCAGCTCACCTGGGTCCTGGAGCAGAGTTCTGTTTACAGACTTCCTAATGTCAAAGCCCAGCAGCAGGTGTGCCAAGTTTGGTGAAGGTTGGTCTAGAAATCTCAGTAGGACCTGAAATAGGTAGTGTCTGGTGGAGTTACGGACGTGGCCAATCTCATGGGAATCATCTGTAACAATAAAACTAATCCGTGTTAAAGTGACATTATATGGTGGAGTTACGGACGTGGCCAATCCTACGGGAATCATCTGTTACAATAAAGCTAATCAGTGTTAAAGTGACATTATAATGGTGGAGTTACGGACGTGGCCGATCTCACGGGAATCATCTGTTACAATAAAGCTAATCAGTGTTAAAGTGACATTATAATGGTGGAGTTACAGACGTGGCCAATCTCACGGGAATCATCTGTTACAATAAAGCTAATCAGTGTTAAAGTGACATTATAATGGTGGAGTTACGGACGTGGCCAGTCTCACGGGAATCATCTGTAACAATAAAGATAATCAGTGTTAAAGTGACATTATAATGGTGGAGTTACAGACGTGGCCAGTCTCACGGGAATCATCTGTTACAATAAAGATAATCAGTATTAAAGAGACATTATAATGGTGGAGTTACCGATGTGGCCAATCTCACGGGAATCATCTGTTACAATAAAACTAATCAGTGTTAAAGTGACATTAAAATGGTGCAGTTACAGACGTGGCCAATCTCACGGGAATCATCTGTTACAATAAAGCTAATCAGTATTAAAGTGACATTATAATGGTGGAGTTACAGACGTGGCCAATCTCACGGGAATCATCTGTTACAATAAAGCTAATCATTATTAAAGTGACATTATAATGGTGGAGTTACAGACCTGGCCAATCTCACGGGAATCATCTGTTACAATAAAGATAATCAGTATTAAAGAGACATTATAATGGTGGAGTTACAGACGTGGCCAATCTCACAGGAATCATCTGTTACAATAAAGCTAATCAGTATTAAAGTGACATTATAATGGTGGAGTTACGGACGTGGCCGATCTCACGGGAATCATCTGTTACAATAAAGATAATCAGTATTAAAGAGACATTATAATGGTGGAGTTACAGACGTGGCCAATCTCACGGGAATCATCTGTTACAATAAAGATAATCAGTGTTAAAGTGACATTATAATGGTGGAGTTACAGACGTGGCCGATCTCACGGGAATCATCTGTTACAATAAAGATGATCAGTGCTAAAGTGACATTATAATGGTAGAGTTACGGACGTGGCCAATCTCACGGGAATCATCTGTTACAATAAAGCTAATCAGTGTTAAAGTGACATTATAACGGTGGAGTTACGGACGTGGCCAATCTCACGGGAATCATCTGTTACAATAAAGCTAATTAGTATTAAAGTGACATTATAAAGGTGGAGTTACGGACGTGGCCAATCTTACGGGAATCATCTGTTACAATAAAGCTAATCAGTATTAAAGTGACATTATAACGGTGGAGTTACGGACGTGGCCAATCTCACGGGAATCATCTGTTACAATAAAGCTAATCAGTATTAAAGTGACATTATAACGGTGGAGTTACGGACGTGGCCAATCTCACGGGAATCATCTGTTACAATAAAGCTAATCAGTATTAAAGTGACATTATAATGGTGGAGTTACGGACGTGGCCAATATCACGGGAATCATCTGTTACAATAAAGCTAATCAGTATTAAAGTGACATTATAATGGTGGAGTTACGGACGTGGCCAATATCACGGGAATCATCTGTTACAATAAAGCTAATCAGTATTAAAGTGACATTATAATGGTGGAGTTACGGACGTGGCCAATATCACGGGAATCATCTGTTACAATAAAGCTAATCAGTGTTAAAGTGACATTATAATGGCGTGACCAATCACACAGGAATCATCAGTTACAATAAAGCTAATCAGTGTTAAAGTGACATTATAATG